ACTTTCCTGCTCTGCAGAAGAACCGGGGGTGTCCCCTCCCCGCAGCACTCACCCACGGTCACCTCCTTGATCAGCTCAGCGGCAGCGTGGCAGCCCTGCACCAGGATGCGTGTCCAGGAGGAGAGGTCCCGGTGGGTTTCCACGCGGAACACATGCATCTCCACGCCCTGGCGAGAGCCCGTCCGGGTGGCAAAGGTGAGCTCCGAGCATAGGGCGCGGCCTGAGCCCGAGTGCACGAGCCTGGAGGCAGGAACACACAGATGGGGGGCTCATGGGCACGATGGCAGCACCAGCACGATGCCGCCCCATGCCCAGTGGTGTTTCAGTGTCTGCCCCCTGCTCCAGCAAGCAGCAGAGCCAAGAAACTGGGCCCAGAGGATGAAGGGGGATGGATCCAACCCTGCCAGCTCACCTGGTAGCCACCAGCGGGTAGCTGTGGCAAGGGGAGGCCCAGGCATCCCTGGTCCAGGGCATGCCATCATACAGCAGCAGGTCCTTCTCCGTCACTGCCATGAGGACAGGCCGCCACTGCTGCCGCCCTCCATCCAGGCGCGCCTGCAAGAGATACGAGGGCACGGTGAGGGGCACCAGAGGACCACTTCACCCACGACCAGCCTGATCCCAAGCCAGCAGCTCCACGCTGATGGGGTCTCAGCAGTGTCCATGCGCAGGGTGCTGCTGACGGCGCCGATCCCAGAAAACCAAGCCTGAAGCAGCTCCTGAGGGACCTCATTGCTGGGGCCAACCCCACTGCAATACCCAGGCAGACTGTGGCTCTCGGGCAGTGAATTCATGGACAAGCGAGGGGGTGATGAGCATCTCCCACCAGGAAATCCCAGCAGGAGAAGGTGCTGAGGGCACAGGAAGCACTGCCTTTGCTGTGTGTCCTGGGTTCAGCTCTAACAGTTATTTTTCTCCTTCTTGGTAGCTGGTGCAGGGCTGTGTTTGGGATTCAGTCTGAGAACAATGCTGGTAACGCCGGTGGTTTAGTGTTGCTCAGTAGCACTTACTCTGATCAAGGACTTTTCAGTCTCTCGTGCTCTGCCGGTGAGGAGGGGGAC